CCAGCCTTGGGGTATGTGGCCAGTGCCATACCCACTGAGCTATGGGTGCCTCCTTTTTTTTTTTTTAATTGAGACAGAGTCTCACTATGTCACCCTTGATAGAGTGCTGTGGTGTCACAGCTCACAGCAACCTCCAACTCCTGGGCTCAAGCGATTCTCCTGCCTCCGCCTCCCAAGCACCTGGGACACAAGGCTCGCCACAATGCCCAGCAATTTTTTGTTTGCAGCCAGTCATTGTTTGACGGGCCCAGGCCGGATTTGAACCTGCCAGCTCAGGTGTATGTGGCTGGCACACTAACCTCTTGAACCACAGGCGCAGAGCCAATGCCTGGCTATTTTTTAGAGATGAGGTCTCACTCTGGCTCAGGCTTGTCTCAAACTGGTGAGCTCAGGCAATCCACCTGCATTGGCCTTCCAAGTGCTGGGATTACAGGCCATGTGCCACCGCACCCGGCACAGGCTAAAGATTTTCTACTGCGTGAGCACTGCATTTCCTCATTTCTTCTTCTTTTTCTTTTTTGCAGTTTTTGGCCGGGGCTGGGTTTGAACCTGCCACCTCCGGCATATGGGGCTGGGGGCGTCCTACCCTTTTGAGCCACAGGCACGGCCCTTTTTTTTTTTTTTGAGACAGCTCACTTTATCACCCTTGGTAGAGTGCCGTGGTGTCACAGCTCACAGCAACCTCCAGCTCTTGGGCTTAGGCGATTCTCTTGCCTCAGCCTTCCTAAGTAGCTGGGACTACAGGCACTCACCACAAATGCCCAGCTATTTTTTTTGTTGTTGTTGCATTTTGGCTGGGGCCGGGTTTGAACCCTCCACCCTTAGTATATGGGGTTGGTGCCCTACACACTGAGCCACAGGCGCTGCCCGCATTTCCTCATTTCTAAAAGAAGTTGGATTATTAGGTATACATTTAATTTAATGGTACTTTTTGGGAGGGGGGAAGAAAAGTCACATTTTATGTGCATGTTCATTAGTAGTGCAGCCTGGTTACAGAACAGGAACACATGAAAAAAATGTGTATTTTAGAATTGGGGGAACAGTACAGACAACATTTCTGCTGACAACAGAACTGTGAAATAGGGGCAGGGATAAAAAGAGAGAGATAGTAAACAACGTAACGGTAGGCCTGAAGGACACAGGTTATTTCAGCCTTTGTCTTGCCACTGGGCCAGGGACTTCTTTTGGGCATCTGATTATCATCTGGCTGGGCTGCCCTTAATCTCCCCCTTGTCCATCCAAAAGATGTCGAAGCAGTTGGACATGTTCAAGACCAACCTGGAGGAATTTGCCAGCAAGCACAAGCAGGAGATCCGGAAGAATCCTGAGTTCCGTGTGCAGTTCCAGGACATGTGTGCGACCATTGGGGTGGATCCTCTGGCCTGTAAGGAGTTGTCTGTAGGGGTCCAGTGTTTTCATAGGGTTCTTAATGTATAGAAGCTCATCCAGTTGTCATTACCACTGTTGGGGCATGCTCTAGAAGAGCCTGCAGGCAGATCCAGAGGATGTCGTCTTTAGACAGTACCTAGCAGGATGGCTAGTGCCCAGTCAGTCGGGGAATATAGAAAGGCTGAGTGCAATAGCTGGGTGTTGTGGCGGGCGCCTATAGTCCCAGCAACTTGGGAGGCTGAGGCAGAAGAATTGCCTAAGCCCAGGAGTTGGAGATTGCTGGAGCGACTCCACTGTACTCTACTGAGGGCAAAAAAAAAGAAAGGCTGAGTGGCTCGGCACCTGTGGCTCAAGTGGCTAAAGCGCCAGCC